ATCATTCATATTATTATGTGAATTAGGACAGTTTGCCTTTTTATAACATGGTATTTTATTAATTCTTTGAGAATCTCATGTAATATATTTTAATCATCTCCATTTTGCATCCTTTCCCTAACTCCTCCCAGATCCACCCTTACCTCTCCTCATCCTTAAAACTTTGTGTCCCTTCCTTTTTTCCTTTGAAACAAAGTGGATCCAATTTTTGTTGACCATGCACTCATGGGTATGGGCCATCTACTTTTAGACCATACCCTTAAAGAAGACTGTCTGTTCCTCTCCTGGAAGCCATTAACTAGCAATACCTCCTTAGTAAGCGTGGGGTCTCCTGAGCCCCTTTCCACCTGAACTAGAAAGGTAAGTGGCTGCATCTTGTTCTCGTCTTTCAGCTGCTAAGAGTTCCAGGGCAGCCTTCCAGTCATGTCAAGAAGAAACACTTTTTCTTTAGTCTTCCACATCATTAAGCTTTTCAACCTGTCCAGCCTTTTCTTTCTGGGATGGTTCCTGAGCCCTGGGGTCGGTGGGTGGGTAGTGCCATTAGCAGCTGAGTGCTCGATAGATACTTATTCTCTGAGCATTTGTGAGTTTTTGCCCACTGCAAAAAGAAACTTCTCTGATGAGGCCCGGGGGCTGCCTTGATCTATGGTCATAAAGATTTAGGGAAGTTTGATACTATTTTCTTTTACTAAAATATCAATAGTAGCTTCACCCTTTGTGGTCTGTAAGCTGCCCAAACTTGGATTCACTGCCAGGCCTGTGAAGTGGGTGTTACATCAAATCAGCAATCAGTGAGTTATTTCCATAGCATCTGCACCACTACTGTACGCATGAGCATATCTTGCTATGTGGTAGACGTGTTTATTTTAGCCTGTGCTAACTAATCATCTACTATAACCCCAGGCAATTCACTAGCAACTAAGTATACAGAGCTACATGAGGCAAGCTCATTCTTAAACAATTCATTAGAAGCCTGTCAAATGTGAAGTTTCCGCATCTACCACTTAATGTAGACTGGAAAAAATCTAGACCTCAGATCAAATGTACAGCGCAGGCGCATAATATCCTTACACTGTTTATTATTAGTAGTGTATGTGTTTTTCATGTTTGTGTTCTGATAGTGCCATTAGTATTCACAAAATTATTTGCTAGAATCTAGTCAAATTTAGTTAGAGTCAATTGAATTAATTGTTCCTTTATCTAAAGGCTACTTCCTTCTGTGGGGGAATTCCTAAATAAAAACCATTTGAATAGTTTTCAGTTAGAGATAGAGAAAAAAAGAAAAAAGAAAAAAGAAAAAGAAAACACTTGAGCTATAACTGTGTCACTGTCAGATTCAACATAAACCATTCTTTTGCATTTGTTTGTTGTTATGAAGGTATGGCTTTCTTTGCCACGCATGTTTCTTTTTTCTCTGATTCAGCTCAAACCTCCCTTATTTTTATTAGCCTTAATTAACTGACTCAGCCCTGTTTCCAAACACCCAAAACACGGATTTATCTGACCATCCTTCAACATATAGTTTGTACTTTATTAAAAACCATCCATGTTCAGGATGAGGCCACATTATCTAGCCTCTGTGGCCTTTGAACACCTAACCCAGTACCTCTCATATTGAAAGTACTTAATAAAGAGATCCCATTTGCTAATGGATGCTGCTTAACACCCCCCATCCCCCAAAGTGTTAGCGGCTTGCATTAATTAATGCCCAAGGCAAAACATGTGAGAATTGCTTGTGCTCATCTAAGACAAATAAAAACCAAAGCAAACCCTTGAAATCCAAGAGCCTGAAACCTCATCTTGATAAGGGAAGGAACACTTTTATGAGCTCAGCCTTCATTCAGGATTTTGGCTTCTTCTTCCTGAATTGGCTCTGTACCACACCGCAGAAAGATTTGTTTACTTCCTAGGACCCTGGGCTGGGGGCAAGATGCCACCCATGCCTGCTTGTGTCATTTTTCATGTTGGGCAATTGAGCCTGTTCCAAATCCAGTGTGTTATTTTCAAAGAAGTTAAAAACAAAATGACCACCAGAAAGAAATTCTGTTTTGAGTAGTGAATATCTTTCTATTTTTTTGTTTGGTTTTCACATCCAGATTGGCCAAATTGCTGCGTTATTGGTACTTGGCTGTTCACTATGCAGCATCTAATTGGAACAATTAAAATGATTCAGAAAAGCTAGGGTTATGAAGTCGAAGCTTGGATTTTCCTGGGAACCATTGAAGATTCTTGGCAGTTTGCATGAAACAGGCCTAGGCCATATGTAGGCAAATAACCATGCATTAAACAAATTTCAAATCTCCATGTAATCTCTCTTGGACATCTTTTTTCTTTTGTTTGCAAGGACAGAAAAAGAGATAGCACATGACACTGGGCATCAATCATGTCCAGGGATGAGATAATGTGCATTGAGGTCCAGCACCCTGTAGACATGGAGTTTAAGGCAACATCTCCATCTTCCTCTCCGTCTCCTCGACTATCTGACATACTCTCTTCTGGTTCAGAGAGATTATATGATTTTATGAGCTCTGTTCTAAACCCTTATTTGGCAACAAGGAACCTTTGGTTAGTGTGGCAGGCAGACAAAAGGTTAGCACAGTTGTCCCTTAGAGTACCAGATCTTGTGAGCTTATATTTACTGAGAGAACCATTTTGGGGTTAGGAATCAATAGAGAATTCTTGTATTGTTCCCTTTCCAAGAAAGAAAAGCTGTCATGGAATCAGAACCCTTGGAATTTATTTGTGGCCACAGAGATAATCCCTTTCACAGGAAGAATGAACTAACACATAACTCCCAATGCTAAGCATATTATCTCTTACTGAATCCCCCTTTATCCAGTTGTGCATTCTAGTTATAGAGAAAAACATTTGGCTTTTAGAGTGACTCTCTCTTGTGCCATTGTATTTTGGACTTTAAGGTTGTTCAATTGAATTAAGTCTGGCCTAACGCTTCAAAGTTCTCATCTGAAGGAGACTTGGGTTAATCACTGAGCTCGTCGATGCTATGGCAGAACGATCTCAGATCAGGTTAAACTGTGTATGTTTGCCCACAAATCCATATTTGCATTTGCATCTTAGCCAGTCTTCAGTTCTTGGAAAGCAGTTTTCACACATGCTGAGCCTTGGTGGGAAAATATAAACTCCTGGCTTTGAAGGGTGCCATGTATGCAAATGTAAAAACGTGGTAGGATAAAATATATTTCCCTACTGGGCCAACTTTGGCTTCATCAACTTCTCATTTCTGTTGGCATCTATTGCTTTCACTGTTCTGTAAAATGTAAGTGAAGTGTGGGGTGAACTTTACCTGGATAACTCGTGTTGTATAGACATTCGATTTGTACCATCCATACTGTTGACTGTTCGTGTGTGTTTTGTAGGATCTTTGCAAGCCAGTGCCTTGTTCATTCTGCCTGTCAGGAAGCAGCTTGGGCATTTCCAGTGAGATGCTTTCATCTTGGTACCATGCCTTGAGGGTTCTTCCAAGGGCAAATGACCAAATCTAAATTGAAAAGTGAAGTGGTGGAGGTGGTTTGGGGTAACCTTATTTATGGAAAGCATGGAAAGTTGAAAATAGCTACTATTAATAGGTGCAACCTATTATATATATATATATATATCACTCAGAAACTTTGAGTTTAGGCCAGTTCTCTTGGGAAGTCCTCACAAGTGTCTGTAACTCATGGGTGTAGCCATGGAAAAACATAGTAAAATAATAAAATATCACAAATGCTCATTTCTGTAACAAAGCTGTTCAGTAAAACTGGAGACTCAATTCAGAGATGATAGGGGGATATTTTCATTTTAGCAGAACCTTTTTGACCATTGATTTGGATTTATCTTAAAGTGTCTGTTTATTAGGACCTCTAGTGATGTGTTTGAATTATTTTGAAAGCTGAGCAGTTGTAGTGAGCTATCCACCCCACCCTCACCTGTTGCACTGATCACACCCATTGGGGCGTGGGGACAGGTGTGGGTGTGACCTGGGGGGACTACGTCTAGGGTCTGGATATGTGGTTCTTTCCATTTGCTCTTGTTACCTCACTGGCAATAGGTCTTAAGTTTGTATGTTCTTAATTTTCCTTTTCCTAGAGCGTGCTTGATATTTACTGTCTTTGTATACAGTTTTGTATCTCTAAACCTTTTCTTTAGATGAAAAGGGGAATTGTAGTGAGATATCTACCCCATCTGTACCTGTAACACTGACCATGCCTATTGGGGTGTAGGACAAGGTGCAGGCACTACCTGAGGGGACTAGTTCTGGGGTCCTGGACCCCAGCTCTCTCTCTCTCTCTCTTGCTTGCTGGTCGGAAACAGAGCATCCAGAGGCATCCTTGGGACAGGAACCTGTGGCAGCCACCTTTTTCTGTTATAAGTGATTTCTCCCTGAATAAACATCTATCAACCTATCATTACCCAGATTCTGATCTAGGCACCAGAATGCAGAGAACCATCATTTTGCCTGGTACTGTGTGTGCAAAACAGACACGTATCCAGTGGAATTTATATTCCAGGGACAGAGCTCAGTGAAAGGGCCGAACATTGTGCCTGGCATATGGTAGGCATTTATACTCACCTTTGCATTTAGAATCCATCCTGGCCACCTCTGAGCTTGTACTCTGGAAAGAAAGCAGACATGAAGCTGTTGATAGCCACATGGCAGCACACTGCTATGACATTGTGTTTATAGTGAGTCACACTGAGTTTTACTGGTCCAGAGAAGGCAGACATCAATATAACTGAGGCAGTGGGCAAGGCCTGGTGAGGCAGGATGGACCTGAACTAGATCGAACCGAGGTCGGCAAGGACCTGGACAAAGAGTGAGGGGCTGAGGTTAGAAACTGGTGTGGCATGATAATGGGGACTAGGTGACAGGGCAGTAGCTGGAGTCTGGATGCCACCCATTTACATCTGGCTTTTCTTGTGCTTAGTGGGAAACATATGCCCACTTTTTAGCTGGGTTGGGACAGAGTGCAATTGATTTGCTTGGTGTGTGTGTGGGGAGGGGGGCACATTGCTTTGGCTAGTGGCCTACAGCATGCCACAGCTTGGATTGCTGGAGACAGACTAGGAATGTGGACTTGAGCCTTTCTCCAGCTGCTGGAGTAATCTGGGAAGATGGACAGCAGCAGACTCAGCAGGGCACGGGTGAGAGAAGCAGCCTCTGGAGGCAGCACACACAGACTGGTGAGTAGCACAGGCCAAGGGGCAAAGGAGATGTGGGTGATTTCAGCTGGGTTTGAAGAAAGGTCCACCAGTTCATGTAGGAGGGTGGCATTTTTGACCCAGCTTTGTACACGTAGTAACTGAGACACTTGTCCAGTCACTCTTCCACAGTTTCCTTCTGTTTTGAGCAATTGCTGGCTTTAGCCATTTACTCAGCAAGAAAAACAGCTGAGTCATTTTCTGAGGGTGCCATCTACCTAGATAATTACTCTGAGGATGGAAACTCTAAACAGAGCCCTCATGCATACTGGTTAAGCTGCTGAAAATATTTGCTACTCAGTGGTGGCAAAACATTCCTTTGCCTAGCGACAGCTTTGGTGGGGCCACCACACTCATAAAGGGGCAGGGCTTCTCTGTGTTTTCCTGCCACCCCCTGAAGCTTAGCAGTTTTCTGTGTGCCTTGTAGATTCTTTAAGGATCACTTGAGACTGACCATCTAGAACATCGGTTCTCAACCTATGGGATGCACCCCTTTGTTGGTCAAATAATACTTTCACAGGGATTGCCACCAGAAAGCACAGATATTTGCAACATGTTCATAATAGTGGCAAAACACAGTTATGAAGCAGCAATGAAAATAATTTTATGGGTGTGGGTCACCACAACAAGAGGAATTGCATCAAAGGGTCACGGCATTAGGAGGATTAAGAACCAATGATCAAAGATCTTGCTTTTCATTTCCACTATAAGTGACTAAACTTTCCAACCGACATGTCTACCTTTCTCTTAAGCTCTGTATGTACTGTAGTCTCAAAAGAACCACGCTGTTTTTTTCTTGGTTAGTCATACAGCATATCTTTATTCTCTACCTGGGAAGAGGACTTTGTTTTTCCTCTGGGCACCAATTTACCCAGAACAATGCTTTAAACTAGTGATGTTTGTGGCTATAGAAACCAAGGTGAGATATCAGCAGGGGATTCTTTGCATAGATGTCCCAGATCATTTGGCCATTGTCTGTTTAATGTAATTGACTTTCCAAGTTCAACTTAGACTGTTTCCATCCATGGACATAATGTTACTTCTTTAGGTAGCACTATTGTAAAACATTGATTTCTGAGCACAAATTCTCCATTTTAATTTATAAGGGCACATGTTATAGGCCCATGATGTAGAGTAGGATATCATGCCAGGTTCCTATTCAGAACTTAATTATTATACACAAGACTCCAGCAGAGTGATTTCAAAGTCTTTTTTGAAGGGCTGAATATTCAGTTCTCCATACCCACAGCTGCCAATTCTTATGTTTTTTAGTGGTCTTCCATTCTCCATTTGCTGAAGATATAAAACCACATCTCAGAACGCATGTAGAAACACTATAAAAAGCATCCATGATTAATAGAACATTTTCAACATTAACTGTCTTAACCAATTCTATTAAAAGAAAACTTAAAGAATATTTCCCCCCTTTTTTCTCCTTCCAAGTTTGAGGGGTGTTCCAAATATGGAAGCCTTCTGTCAGATTCCCCTTGAATCCACGGGAGACCGTGATTGTCACATAAAAAGACAGAGGTTTTTCCTCCTTACCTCCCACATTGTTGTATTAACCATTTTGGAACTGAACTGCGGCGAAGATCTTGGTACACTGAAGATCTAAGTCTGTTGTCTCTCATCTAAGTCTGTTGTCATTGCTCAAATGGCAGGTTAAAGTGAGAGCATGCTTGCTACTCCATTGGCTTACATTTGTGTTTCTCCCCTGTCCATGACTCTTCTCTGTCTCACAATTTCCTCCTCTCTCTTCCCTCTAGTCTTCCCCATGCCAACCCTTCCCTTCACAGACTTCATCTCACAACAAACTGACATGGCAACGCCACAGAGGCAGTGACGATCAGGTTTCAAAGGACAACACAGCATGCTGATGAGAAACAATCACCAGAAAGCAAGGACTTATGAGACTTGCAAGATAAAAGGACCTTATTTTCTTGGCAAGCTCCATACACGTTCTGCAATGACGAATGATATGACTGTTATCTTGACACCGTGCTCTCCCATGTTGAAACTGTTTATGAGAACCAAGCATCATATGAAGAACAGATTGCCAGACGCTAAGTAAATCATTGTAAAGGGTGGTGAGTCAAGTATTGCCAGTTTTACCCACATTGTCATTGTTATGATGTAACACATTCCTCAAGACTGATATTGTCTCCAAATTTGGGCACAAAAGCCTCTCCTTGATCAGTTGGCTGAGAGTCTCTGCCTCCTGATATGTCACACTCAGACACAGCTGCCGAGACCCAAGCATCCCGATTTGGACATACACCTAACCTGAGTTAGGCACAAAGGGCAGCACAGAAAAGATAGAATATTTTAAAAGGTGTGTGGAGATTACACAAACTGTAAATTTCAACCCTTGCTCAAGCAATAAACCCTGTAATCCTCTAAGCTCTGCTAGCAGTGATTAATAAACAGTGGGTGTGTGTTAAGCATATGGAAAAATCTTCCCATCTGGACCATTTAAAACTAGGACATAGACTTTATCTTTGTTTATTTCATCCTTAGCTAAAAGGCTTATTATGAATTGCAATAATCCAAGAAGCCAACCATGGAGGACAGACAAACTCTTTAGATAAAACCAAAAAAGCAAGCTCTGTAACTGAGTACCAGATGTATTTTTGGGTTTAGCCCTTGTACATATTTAGCTGAGCTTTTCAAGTGAGGAAGATTTGCATGTTTGTTTTGCAATACTAATGAATATGTTTTTGATTTACATTTTAGAAAATGGAAACTTTTATCTTCTTGGGGCTTTGGAACTTAATGACTTCCAGAGGGTAGCTTCGTGTCCTCTTTTAACCCTTCACCATGAGAAACGTATCGCGTTCAGAGGCCCAGCCCTGGGTCTTATGGAATAAAACCCTTAAGATAATGTGATTCTGTCGTTGCTGCCGGGATGGTAAGGGTGAAAGAGCATTTGACATTCAATCTAGTGAAAACATATGTAAATGGCAAATTATTTTTAAACTTTTATGTGAATCTTGGGGGTATAAAAATGACTCCATAGATGTTCTTCCTATTAGACAAATGAGCACAAGTCTTTGGGATGAACGTTTGCTTTGGGAGGTAGAATCTTCAGTGTTGCTTCAACTTTCTCAGAGACAAAGATTGTTGGAGGAGCAAAATGTCACAGTATTTAAAAAAAAAAAAAACTATTCTGGAAGATATCCTTAGGATCAGTTCTTCCTTCCTTCCAATTTCTTTGAAGATGTTACGTGGAAAAAACTCAGTAACCACATTTTACCCCCAAGACTTCCTTTCCTTGTAATTTGGGTTGGACAAGGACCTTATCAGAAATGGAAAAATTTATCCTTGAGGGGTAAGAGGATTTTACAAGAAGATACAATGAGAGTTGTGAACTCTCATTATTTGACAAATAGTCCCAAAAGATCTCCTTCCTTTAAACTTTTCCAGTAGTTTTAAAAAATAGCATGAGACATGAGACAGAATAGAAAGACTTTTAGAACCTGTGTTAGGCCCATGAAGTCTCTTGAATGCTTAACATTCTGGAACAAACAAATGGAGGTGTTATGTCACATGGAGCGTGAAGCGATAGGGAACATTTTACATTGGTCCTACAGTTCATTGAAAATGTCCTACAGAGGACCAAGCAGTTCCATGATAAGGAACCTAGTGGCATTTTTATGGTTTCACATCTGAAGGCATTGACCAGAAGACCCCAAGCCTACTTGTTCTCATGGGAAATAATTTTACCCCTGGAGAATATTTCTCCCACTCAGAGTCTGTTAATAACTAGTTTCAACTTTCCAGACAGTTTTATAGTGTTGTATTAAAATTAGAGACATATTTGCTTTGAGTTCTTGGATAGCAAGCATTTTCTAACACAATTTCTTCAAAGCAAGCAAGGTTGAAATGGGGTGTAATAATTCCCTATTTTCCCTTTCAAAATTCTCCAAAGCTTTCTGTACTATTCTAATTTAAGACGCTACAGAAAACTACTTAGATGTCTTTAAAAACTAGATGCCTTCCTTATTATTCTGAATTCCAGACTGGAAATAGGTTTCTTTAATTCTGATCTTAAGTTGATATATCTTAAATTTTTATTCATGATTAACCTATTAATTTACCCTTCTCCTATGTAACAAAGAGGAGGGGAACAGTTAGCTAATTGAGTCTATAAACACTGCATGCCAGAAATTTATTGCTAGTCTCTTTATTGTCTTGGAAGAAAGCACATACAGATCTTATAGAGGGGAGCGGAAACATAGACAGCTGCCCCAACCTGTGCAAGAGCTAACAATATTCAAATAACTCAAGTCCTTCTGCTTTCTCAAATCATCTTCTGCAGCCAATATCACAGTGTTCAAATTTCTCAGTCACCAGTCTAAAGCCTTTTTGATGGAGCTTAGAATGACTATTGCAGGTATCTGGAATAATGGAAATCACTTTGGGGCATAAAAAAGTAATTCTGAGTAAGCCTGCTGGATGAATGTGTATGAGCAAGTAGTAAAGATGGAGAACAGAAGGACAACAGTGGCCTTGGCCTCTCCTTTCTAACTAGTGCACAGTTTCTGTGGGAACACTGATGAGCATTAGGGATGCTGTTTACCTAAGAAATCACATACACATAAAATACTAAATACTAAATACTTGCTTTGAGTTTTAGTAACTTGAATGTGTGGTGAAGCTGCTTGGGTTGATGGGTTCCATCTGCCCGGAATCTCTGATGTTCTAAAGTGTGGTTCATGCACAGCAGCTTCAGAAGTTTCTGAACTGTCTTAGTAAAGAGAACCTCTGCCCCCCACCAGATCTAGGTGTTAGAAATGAAGGATGTCCCTTCAGCCATCCAGGCAGGGCTTGTCAGACATGTCTTCATTAATGATTGACTATTTATTGCTTTTTAGAACACTCCAAAGGACACAAAGTCACAAAGTTTTCTAAAGTGAGCCCCTGATCTTTGTTTTTTTTTTTTTTGTGAGCATCTGGATGAAGTTCTTTTTATAAATGGAAGTGAAATCTGCCTCCCCTCCTTATCATGGCTCCCACTTCTGCCCCGTCAGCTGACAGTTTGAAGCTCCCCACTCCCCTCCTGAATGAGACTCACCTTCCGAATGATTCCTTGTTCTGTAGACATGGGAATTATAGCTGACATTGTAGAATCAAACTTGGGATAGTTACACATGTAGCAAATTCTTGAATGTATACATTAAAACCCTCCAATATCCCTGAAATAGAGTTTTACATAAGCTCTCCGTCAATCTTGACATTGTGAAGGGAAGAGGGGGGGGTCAAATATTTGGCTGAAAGAGCTCACATTATTAAGATTGTATTAGGGGTTCAATTTTACGCAAGCCTTCCTGTAAATTTTCCCTTCACATCCCCCTGTCTCACATCATGCCACTCTCCTGCTAGCTTGAATTGTCAGCACACCTGTACCTTTTTAATGATTATGGCTAAACCCCAGTGCCAGCTGGAGAGGAAGGTCACATTTCATGGTGGTGTAACTGGAGAACAGTGTTTCTTAAGAGTAGAGGTGGCGGAGCCCTTTTGGAGAGTCTGAGAACATAGACCCATTCAAAAGCCACTTACCTTTGGTAGTGAATCATCTTTTAAATACTTGATTGATTGGGCCTTGATTTTTATTGTAGCTCTCGTTCACATAGCCAGGGTTTGAGTGAGCAGTCAGAACAAGGTAGGTCGACAAACAGAAGTAGACTCTGAGCTGCAAGAAAAGGACAGCTGCAGGTAATTGGAACTAGTATATAATAGGAGGTTTATAATACACTTTCACACCTCTGTCCTGTATGAACGAATGAATGGATGAGTTTCCTTGTTTAGTGGCCACGAATCATCGTTATTAACGGACCCCATGTATGCAGTCACAGTAATTAAAATCTAACTCCCATTTCTATAATTTCTATAGCAAGCCTGTTACCTAAAGCGAGCACCTGGTGATGGGATGCCGCCATAGGTGAGTACAGCCATAGCGTCTTTCAAACTCCAGAATACCTCTGTGATGTGTAGATCACAGCGCTTAGGTTGTCAAAATCACCATGGATTCAAAAGAGAGAGGGGGACATCTGAAAGATGAAAAGTATTTAATGCTTGAGTTTAAACATTTTTTGTTTCATTTGTAGAAACACAAAAATATCCAAGATCTAATCTTAAACTAAAACTTGGCTCGAAGAGACATGTGCAATAAATTAACAGATTAAAGTTGTTTACACCTTTGGCACTCTAAGTCTCATATTTCTGCTTTAAATAGCTTTCCTGGTAATTACATACTAGACTGTTTCAATATATAATTCTAAAAGTTGCATGGTGGATAAAAATTTTTTGGGGGGGTTATCAGTATCATTTCCTTCTCAGCCTCAGCCCTAAAATGATTAACGATGATAATAACTACCATCCTTATTTATGATTGACTTGATTTCATGTGAATACATCCAGAATTTGGTCAAACCACTTTCCACATCTTTTGTGGGACCTTTCTTTATTAGACACTACTTTGGTGCTTTGAAATTATGACTATTGAAATGAAATCAACACATTAACACAGATATTCAGGCCTCAGTGAGGTAGGTGCGTACCACAGATGTAAAGGAAGATGTTCTATGGACTTTCAGGGGCTTGGCATTCAAAGGAGGAATTTTGGATGACAGTCAATTAGTATTACAGAAGGACATTCAGAGAGAGAGAGAGAGAGAGAGAGAGAGAGAGAGAGAGAGAGAGAGAGAGAGAGCGCTGTGAATTCCAAGAAGGGAAGAAAATATCATTACATGCTAAATCTATGCATTTTATGTGGAACAAAGTCCACGGGCTTCATCTCTGTGGCCCATGGGATCACACACAAGCTGCCAACTCCTGTTCTTATTTCTTCTCCTGCTTCTTCTTATCTCTCACTGTTTCTGCTTCAGCCTCCCTCCAGGAACTGTAGCTATTCTCCTGCCCAAGGTCTTCATGCTGGCCATTCTATCCTTTTGTACTATTTGTTTTACAGACACTTCCAGCAATTCCTTCTCTCTTTGCTTAAAATATTACGTTAGTGAGGACTCCCCTTCTTATTGAGACAGAATTTCCCTCTGTAGCTCAGACTGGCCTGGAACTCAGGGTAATGCTCCTGCCCCTCCACCCTCCCAGTTGCTAGTACTAAGAGTGTAAACTACTACACCTGGCTTGGAAGTTATTTCAGAACCACTTCATCCAGAAATCTAACCTCTGGCATTTCTATTCATCATCCATTTTTACTCAATCCTGTAGCATTTTGCTCATTTTAGTATAATCGATTATTTTCTTTTTTCCTTTTTTTCTGTCTCAGATGTGTGCCCCTTGAAAGCAGGGATTTGTCTGTTTTATTCACTGCTATGTCACTAGAATATCCTTAGATAATTCAGTGTTCGATTTGTGAGAATTGTGAATTCTACAAACTT